CGGCTCGCGGACGGGCCGCGAGGTCGTGGCGTCATCGTCCGCGCGATATACTGCGGCTCGGTTTCACGCGTGGCCTGGCGGAGGGCTGGTGCGGCGCACCACTTCCTGGGGTATCCCTCTCTCCCCTCCGCCCGGAAGTAACGGCCGACGCCGACGCCGATTGGATAGCTTCCTAATTTATGGACGAAACGTGATGAAAATGAGCAAGCGGTTTCTGATAGACTGTCAGCGTAATTTGCACTCTTTGTTTGCGTTGAGGATTTCAGGTGTACTTTGCCTGCAAAGCAGCGTATCTAGTTAGCAAGCAGCAATGAGACTGAGTTACTAAATCCCTTTGGTAGTTATGGACACTGAATAACCTATATTGGATTAAGTTTGAGCTAAGCCTTAAAGCCCAAGGACAGCATCGCCTGGGGCAATTAAACATCGACTAAGTAGAAGCCGCAGAACCGGCTCGTCACGAGCAGATTAATCCAGTAATGTGTCCCCAAGTCAAGCGCGCAACGCAGACAGGGTCCAAAGGCTTCCTTCGAAATCCGTCCCCCGCCCCCCTCCCCCTCCCCCCAATATCGGCACCAAGTCTGACGGCCGCCCTTTCAAAATGACATTGGGATATGCTGTCCAATAGCACGTCGGCCTGACAAGCTCGTAATCAGAGTAGCAGCCATCTTAGCCGTAACCTGCCGTCGAGCAGCACTCCAGCCGGAGCGGTACTCCAGCCGCACTCCAGCCATGGCCATCGTCGAGCCCTGGCCCCGTCGGCACCGTTGTCGGCGGCGCGATGGCGCCCGTGCCTCGTCAGCGCCGGCCTCCGCCGCCAGAAGTGGCCCATGGGAACGGCCGACTTTCGGGCGCGGCGCGCCGCTGGCCGGCGTCCCCGACCCGCCGGCGGCCGGCGCCGTCAGCAGTGCGTGAGCCTACCGTGTGAAGCCCGCTGGGGTGGGTGGCCCCGGCTGCAGGACGGGGCGTGTTATCATGCGGCTGAATGAAGTATAGCGTCGCATTTTAAAGTAGCATAATTTGCATCTCAATTCTTCTTTAGATATTCACCGAAAGAGAGCGGACACATTAACAAGCAAATTGTCTAACCGAGTAGTTGCATATTGCATAAGTCAACAGCATTGCACTGAGCGTGTCCACCGGATGTAACGCAACAGGCTTGGCTATCGCAAACTCCTGTCGTGGCAGAACAATGGCGCTATTATGCACCACACGGATAATAACAGGCAAGGGGTGTCATTTCCCGCTATTTAGCTCTCGATTTATTCGTCGTTAAGTAATGTGAGTGTTTCTTCAGAGACATTCTACAGCGTTTAGCAGCCCATACGCTTATGAAGACAAATATACAGACGAGGAGCTGTTACGGTGAACTGCGTTCCCAAGTTATTAGAGAATGAAAATGGCAGACGTGAGCACACTTATTGGAGTGCTTTTCATACTTACCAGCAGGCGGTACTCGTTGTGCGATGCTGCGTAAAAAAGTTAGACAAACTTACCACCAATGCATTGCCGCACAGGCCAACCCAAGATGCCGCACAAACTCACGGAGTCCGATCTCAGAATGAATGTCTGTTGTGTGCGCCCGGGAAAGGGGAAGGGGGGGGGGAGGCCACCATAGACCGGGAGTACCATCGGGTGTGTCCCAGAAGGACCGCGATAAATGACTGCCGACACGGAAGAGGAACATTATCTAAGTTTTATTTCTCACTGGATTAACTTGGCCATTCGTTATGTTTCAAATTAAAGCGGTTTGCGGGCCTGGAGCGATTTTTATGGAGTGTCGTGCGGCGCCGTATCGACCTCCTCGCCGTCCCTCAGGCCGGAACCGGGCCGGTCACGCTCAAATGCCCCCCGGCAGGACACGCCGCGGTCGAGAATTTATCATTAAATGGCGCCGGGCCGGTTGGACAATGGCAGGATATGAGCGGATTCAGTATTGGTGCATGACGGCGGTGGTTATCTGAGCTTCAATCGTCCCCGAGTGCGTTCACGGTCAATGTCGTTAGAACACGGCCGGCTCGGGCGCGTGGTTACAGCTGCTGTCCCTGCGCTCGGTGGCAGTCCGTCAGGTAAAACGCAAGGGGCTCGTTAAAAATTGTGCCAGAATAAAGCTGCTCGAAGAAAGTCGGCCGCTTCTTGCCTCCATTGCACTGACGGGATAGTTACGCGTAGTGCCTCTGTTGGCCACGGTGATCGCAAGGTCAGAGTAAGGTCATCAGACTAGCATCGGATGGTATGAACATAAATTTTTCGAGGTCGGGAGAAATGTGTTTTCAAAATGTGTGTTCTATGGGCCTACGGCCTCCTGCCGAACTAAACGCGAAAGACACAAAAAGCAAATAATTTTAAGGAACAAAGAAATGTAATTGCGTCTATCGCTCTACTCACGTGTTTATAACGGAGTTTAAGGATGCTAGTTGCGTGTCGTGCGTTCCGAAAACTTGACTTGCGTAGTCCCTGAAGGCAACACCCGCATCGCTTCTGGCTCTCACACCACTAAATTCCTTTTAAATTGTATTTTATCCATCCTACAGGAGAGTAACAGCATCATATGTGCAGTATTTACATTCACATACTTACAAACCATAGCCGAGCGAAGGCTGAGTGCTTTGATTCGGTGTCGAAACATAACATACATATACGTCTCGTGACATTCCAGCAGAGGTGAGAGGAGGGAAAGAGGGGGGAATGACCCAGGCCCGGGGACCTCCCCGGTCCAAGGAAAGGGGGGGGGGCTACTCAGCTGGGGCGAGTGAAACGGTAAGGAAAGCCGAGACGGGGGCGTGTACGTCGGGCGTAGCATAAGTGTAACATGGAGCACAACACAAAACACCGTGTCCGGTACATTTAGTACGCGCACGCACAGGGCCCGTCCGCCGTTGAGATCAAGACGCCCCAGACGCTCTTCCGGCGGGCGGGAGGGCGAGGCGCTTCGCTCGTGAACAACAACAATGAGGGGCGCATAGCCGGCCTCCGCCTCGGGCCGCGGCCGACGGTCACAGTCCAACACGGCCGTGAGTAGGCTCCACCGCGACGTGCAGGAGTCAGAAACAGTTTATAGCGACTAGAGGTGTCCTACCTGCCGCCAGTGCCTCAGGCCTAGCTGTGGTACGTATCGGAACCCATCCGCAAGAAACGAACGCGTGAATAAACCGTTAAATTACTTGGCACACGACAGTAATATGCAACAAATACTAATTTAATGAATACGCCATTGGTTCGCGCCGGTAGATACAAAACCTTATTGTACACATAATTATACTACAGAGTTCACTCCCTTTACGCAGGTGATATGCGTGTATGCGTGTGCGTATATACTCAAACATGGCATGTACAAACAACACAGATTACAGCAATCCCAGGTATGGGCACATCACTTCCACACACGTTTCGGTGCACATGCTCTGCTTCCATACCAGAACACTCACGCTCCTTTTCATCGCGTGTTCACGCATCCTCTCGTTCTCGCCTTCTCGGTGTCAGTTTACCCTGCTGTCCACTGTATGGCCTCTGGGGATTGCTGCAGCTTGTGACCCTCAGCCCCTGCCCCGCCCCCGGGCCCAGGTGACCAAGGCGCCTGTGTCACCCATACGTCGCACCTGTCCCATGCGTACACCGCGAGAGGTCACGGCTCTCATCGCTGTCTCCGGGTTCGTGGTCTTTCTGGTAAAGCCCAGTCAGAACAATAGAGCTTCTTGTTGGGGCAGTGCGTATTGCGGAGCTCTTCCAAAATTGGAAGGATTTTTCACTTCTTCTAGTTCTAAGTTGGGTTGCAACAAGCCAACAGATCTTCATAGGTTTCAGAGGTAGTACCATTTTGCTAAGTTGCGAATATTCGGGGTTTGTTTGGATTATAGCCCTATCAACCAGACATGACCATTTCAGAGCTATGGGATGAAAGGAGAATGGATAACAGTGGGGCAGGACCACATGTGCCTGGGAGGGCCGACCGCCGAGCCTTAGCCCGCGCAGGGACCCCACTACGGGGTGTGTGCTGGCGCCCGGTCGGGGTCTCTCTCCAGGTGGCTTGTCAGCTTACTCACGGCTGACGCATGCAGCCTGCCTCGCACAGGCGGGGCGCCACGAGGATTCAGAATAAAGCAAGAAAGAGGATGAGAGGGTCGGATGACCGGGTTTAGTATTGATCAGTTTAGTTTTCCTGTCAGTGTTCAGCCATCCAGTTACTTATCAATTATGTCATTTGCTATCATTTCAACGGGATGTGCCGAACAGTAGGCCAAACCTTTCCCATGATCCTTATCCACAAAGTACCATCCGTGCCAGTTAGCTACCCCCGCAAGACTAGCCAGCTTCAGCGGGCCTCGTGACCCGCGCCCAACCAATCAACGCGAGAGCGTGTCTCGCTCGTCCGCGATCTCAGGAGCGGCCGGAACCGAGTGGTGCTTTGCCTACTTCTGCACGAGAATTCTGGCCCTACGCGCGCAGTGTGAAGCGAGAGAGCGGCGACAGATGAACCTTCTGAAGAGCTGTGTAGACGGATCCATACGTGATGGCTTGTTACATAACATTCTGAGGGGCAGCTGCGTCTACACCGTACCCGCGGGTTCACTCTGCACCGAGCCGGGGGCCTGGGGGCGGCGCTGGGGCCGGTCTCTTGGGCAAGGTCGGCTGCTGGGGCTAGAGCAACAATTGAGGGCTAGGTCACCCGCTGGGGGCGGCGGGCCGCCGCTGGACCGCCGCTGGGCCGCCGCTGGGCTGCCACTGGGCCGCCGCTGGGCCGCCGCTGGGCCGCCGCTGGGCTGCCACTGGGCCGTCGCTGGGCCGCCGCTGGGCCGCCGCTGGGCCGCCGCTGGGCTGCCACTGGGCCGCCGCTGGGCCGCCGCTGGGCCGCCGCTGGGACGCCGCTGGGACGCCGCTGGGCTGTTGCTGGGCCGCCGCTGGGCTGCCGCTGGGCTGCCACTGGGCCGCCGCTGGGGGCGGAGGGCCGGCGCGGGCCTGTATCACACGGGCGGGCCGCCACCGCGCCCACTGACCCGCGCGGCACGCGGCGCGCGCCTCGCTCACATGTGGTGCGCCAGCGTCATGGCGGCCGGCGGCAGGCTGGCGTCTGGGCTGCCTGTCATCTGGTGGTGGTAGGGCGGCATGTACTTCTGCTCGGCGGCGTACTTGGCGGCGGCGGCGGCCGCTGCCGCCTGCTCTGCCGCCGCCTGCGCCGGCAGGTACATGTTGATCATGCTGTTGAGGTCGCCCTGCTGCGGGGGCGCGCCGTACTCCCGCTTCATCGGCGGCGCGGCGGCGGTCGCCGACGGTGGTGTGTCCGAGCGCATGCTGTTGGGCGAGTGCGACGGCAGGCTGGCCGACGCTGTGCCCATGCCCGCCTGCATGCCGCTGTACGGGCTGGGGCTGCAACGGCGGAGGGCGGCCGTCAGCGGGGGCACGGTGCCGCCGGACGCGGAGACAGCCGGCGGCCGAACGCCCTCCTCGGTCGCGACAGACTACAGCGAGTGGTGGAACTGACGGGCTTGGCTTTGAACCGCGGTCACGAAAGCTGGGAAATTTGGAGTACGGTTATGAAAGCCTGTATTAGCACGGAAAAACGGAATCGTTCTCGACTCGAATGCAGCCCAGACGAAGTGAGGCCGGACGAGTGCTCGGCTCCATTGTCAGTTCCGCGACGCTCACCTGTTGGTGTACATGACGTTGTAACTGGAGCCGTTCATGTAGCCCATGCTGGAGGTGGTGGGAGGGGTGTAGCCTCGGGCCATCTCGTACTGGCCGCCGGCCGTCATGTACGGGTTGGTCATGTAGCTGCCGTAGGCAGCGGCATGCTGCTGGTATGCGGCCGGGTCGTAGGTGGGGTAACCTGGAGGGCGAGAAGATATGGGATCAGCAGGGCTCCAGGGGTCGGCACATGGGGGGGGGGGCTGGGGTCAGCGGGGGCCCCACGGGTCAGCTCCTGAGGGGGGGGGGTCTGGAAACAGCAGGAGCTCCAGGGGTCAGCTCCTGGGGGACCGGAGAACTGGGGTCAGCGGGGAATCTAAGGATCCGTCTGTGGGTGTGGGGGTGTGGGGGGGGGGGGGTGAGAACTGTAGTCAGCAGGGGGTCTAGGGATCAGCTCTTGGGGGACGGGAGTTGAGGTCAGCAGGGGTTCTATGGATCATCGTCTGGGGGGTAGCGGGAGGGGTGGAGTCAGCAGGGAATCAAGGGATCAGCCCTTGGGAGAACTGAGGTCGGCACGGATCTAGGGATCAGCCTCGCAGGGCGGGTCTGGGAAAAACAGGGACTTCAGGTTAAGGGCCAGACAATATTCCAGAGGTTTCCAGAGATCAGCGAAGATCCGTGGGTTGGACCATATGTCAGATGTCAGATCCCGGTTACAACCGATACTTTGGAGGCCAACGAAGACTCAAAAACTTAGGCAGATTTCGGAGGTAGACCGATATTCCAGGTGTCAAACAATACGCAAGAGGTCAGCCAACATCCCGCGACAATACGCAAGAGGTCAGCCAGCATCCCGCGACAATACGCAAGAGGTCAGCCAGCATCCCGCGACAATACGCAAGAGGTCAGCCAGCATCCTGCGACACTGTTAAAGCGCAGAGGTAAAGTGCAGGACAGGGAGTATGGTGGCCCTGCCGATTCGTGCAAAGTGGCCGTGTTTTCAGGATGTCGCGGTAATATGGCAGTGGCTGTGTGCCGTATCTAGTAGTTGGTCATAACTCTTAGCGCCAATTTTACCAACCACGTGCGAACGAGCCTCTGCTCCAACTACGTACCACGGAGCAAGAGATGGACTCAAGACGCCCAAACACAAGTCACTCAGCTCGGCCCACCTACGACGCCCGCCAGAACTCAACACCAGCCGGTCACACTCCCGCTGGCCACTCGACACTCACTCTCGCTGCGTCCGTCCCGCCGCCTCCGTCCCCGGTCATCCGCCGGTCCCGAGGGTCCCCGCCAGACCGGACCGGACCGGACCGACCGCGGGAATTAGCCCAGCTTGCAGGCGCCCTCCTCTCGGCCTGTTTACCTTCAACACGGCGCGTGTTGACTCTGGCGCCGCGCCGCCGCTCACGCGCCGCCAAGGTGGTCTGGGCGCCGTTTTTCCGCGCGCGGACATAAGCGGACACTGTGGCGGTAATCCGCGCGCCGCGACAGGCCCGGCGTCGGCCGCCGCCGTTTTTGCGTGACCGTAAAGCGGCTATCGCGGCGCGGCGCTGCGGCGGTCGTGGCGCCGCCGCCAGCGCGCTTTCAATTATCGTAAACCATTACCGGCGCCCGTAAAGGCTTTGCGGTGCGCTGCATGATTGCGGGTCGGCTGGGTGCGGGGTGGTGACGTGAAAATCAGACCGGCGATGACTCGTCTCTTGAAGATGCCGCGCGGCGGCCGGGCGGAAGCGGCGCCAGCTGATGGCGGCGCCCCTGGGGCCAGCCTGTGACGCCGTGCGGGCGCAGCCGACAAAGCGGGGCAGGACGGTGCCCCGGTACCGAGAGCAGCCTCTGAAGATGGCGGGGGACAGCCGAGGACGATCGGGAGCCCGTGTCAGGGTCGGGACAGTCAGGTGTGTGGGCCGGGCAGCCAGGTCCGAGGTGGACTACCAAGCCTGTGGTAGACTACCGAGCCTGGGTGGATTACCAAGCCTGTGTTGCACAGCCCAGCCTGTGGTAGACTACCAAGCCTGTGGTGGACAACCAAGCCTGGGTGGACAACCGAGCCTGTGGTGGACTACCAAGCCTGGGTGGGCAACCGAACCTGTGGTGGGTTGCCAAGCCTGTGGTGAACAACCAAGCCCGCGGTGGGCTACCAAGCCTGGGTGGACAACAAAGACCCAGACTGTACACGGCTGCCGATACAGGAGTTGGACGTGTTCACTGCGCACAGCGAAGACGTTGGGCTGTTTTAACAGTGCTGGGCTGGACTGTTAAAGACTGGCTGCTGTGCCGGTGAGGCCTGAGGCGCACGCAAGCGTGCACAACGGCCTCATGGAGCTGCAGCAACGTTCCACAGGAGAACCATCGTAAAAATAGCATGAACTCGCAACAGTGCTGCGATCTGTTCATGGTTGGTCGGCCGCCTGTGCTCTGAGACGCTCAGACAGTACGATCACGTGACGTCCACCTGTCAGCTGAGTGGTGTGGTCAAACCTCGGCAGTTTGTTCCCACTGAACGCCAGGATTTGAGAGGCACAAGTTGCCAAGGCGGGTTGGTTGATGCGTGCCCGCCGCATTACCCATCTCGCCGGAACGGTGCGGAAGAGGGGTGCGCCAAGGCTGCGCGCTCGTGCCTATTTTCTGCCGTGAAAATGGTTGTTTGCGGTACAGGCCGTCGGTGGCGCGCGTGTGTTTGCTCGCCGTATTGACAGCGGGTATTTGAAGAGCTCTGTCTCCACACCGCTCTAGTGTTTGCCAGGCCGCGGCTAAATAGTTCAACAGCCACGCAATTCATCGTTAACGCATCACCGGCCGGCCGGCTCTGCTCCCGCTGCGCCCCCACTCTGTCCCTGCTCTCAGCCTCTCTCTCTCCTCGCTCGAGCTGCAAGCCCAGGCGCCAAATCGCCACTTGGTCTCTCCATTGGCAGAGATGAGCGGCGTATGTGATACGCCGCCAAGGGCGCAGCTACTGGAATAATCTCCGTTTCGACTCAGTGATATAACGTGCAGTGTATTTATTGCTCATACTATGCTACGCCTATATGACATATATATATATATATATATATATATATATATATATATATATACATATATTTCAGATGGTTCATGTAACACGAATCGCGGTATTATCAAAGGGAATGTTTTCCCACGGCTGACGCAACCTACATGCTTCCCACATGATTGGAAAGTTGTGATGCTCCTTGAAAAGCCTAAAACAGGAAATGCAGAAATTGCGGGGTATTTTGAAGTATACATCGTCATACATGCAGTACAAATGATGTGCGTATGTGCATCTCAAATTTGTGCTCTCAATTGGCACGTAGTCCCTTTACAACAGCTGAGCGACAAAACCCACAAATGTGGAACATCAGCGGCTTCAGCCTTTCGACCTTTAAGGCATCTGCGACAAGTTTGACAACACCTATGAACCGCAAAGACTTCCCGCATAGCCCATTTAACAGCATGATTAACCCGAATTGCATCGGTTCTCCCACGCGACTTTTGTGTACAACAAATGTTGAACTGACTCACAATAGAAAACAGGTGATCCGGCACAAAAGAGACCCAAACAATAAGATTGCTATCATGTGGCCATTCAGAGCACAAAAACATTCCTGACTTTTGTTCAAGTCTCAATGGGGTTCACTCTCGCCGTAGTACTACGCCAGTCTGGGGTATTGATCTCGGCCACAACCACACAAAAGACGGTCTGCGCCTCTCTCAATGAAGTCCTTGTCTCTCTTTCTCCTGGCGCTCCTTCTCTCTGCCTCCTCCACTCTTCTGCCCGCTGCTCACCAAGGGCGGATGGCAGCCGGCGAGGCTTTCAGGGTCATGTGAAGCCTCAGCTGACGGGCGCTGCAGGATTACCGAGGATACTTTTTCTGCCCAAAGATGCTAAATTTGGAAGCGACTGCACTCATAACAGCGAGTGCTATTACAGCCATCTAATTGCAAAAACCAAACAAAACCATGAGTACAAATACCCATAAGCATTGACAGACAAATTCACGGCCATCACGTTTTTCAGCATACGTCCCAACTGGCTGCATTTTGTGAAAGAAAAGAACGGCCGCAACGCCCGCTCCTCACCGGTAATTCTGAGCTTCGCATGTGAATACGAGTACGGTGGAAACGAAGCTACTACTGAACGCTATGTCTACCAACATTCTGAGCCCAAGTCAGCGAGAGGATTCCTCCATCCGGGAGGGACCATCCGAGCTTGTAATGGCAGTTCCCGCCTGCGCTGGGACCAAGGCAACAGCCGTACCGTTATCACGGGTGGAGCGACTCGCCTGACCGGCGGGGCAGCGACTCGGCCTGCACCCCAGCGGTGACTCGAGTCGCCGTCGCATCGACGACTCGACCCGACTCCAGCCGCGACTCGCCGCTCGCCTCGCCACCGGCCCCGTCCCGCCGGGAGGGAGCTCCCGTAGGCTGGCCGGGTGGGCGTAGCGCGGAGGCGGCAGCGCCCCGTCCCGCGGCCGGCTTCTCCGCCGCCGCCCCCCGCCGTCTCCAAAATTGCGCCGGCCGCGCGCAGGAAGTGGGCGACGACCGCCGGCCGCGCGGTAGAAAAAACAACGGGAGGCCGGCCGCGTCACGCGTCCTCGACCCGGCGGCGGCGCGGACGGCCCGGCCCGCACCTGCCCCGCGCGGCCCTCCCGCCACCGGGGCGGCCGGTGACCCCGGCACCGAGGGGCGTGTCGCTCGCGCGGAGGGGGCACCGGGGGTCCGCTCGGCGAGCGGCGCTACCGGAGCCATCCGTGGTAGGTGCGTACATGTGGGCCGAGGCCGCGGGGCCGTTGGGTCCGACGGCGACGGGCGCCGAGTGCTGACTAGAGAGATTGCATATTTACGGTGCTGATGTGTTGACGGGATGGAATGTCAAGCTGCCGACCCTGCACCCGGGGGAGGGTGCACGAGAGTGACGCGTTGAGCGAGCACCGCGCAGCAGCACGCGTGACATTCCGCGTGTTGCTTGGGCGCCTGTTGTCAATAGTTGCTGGCAAGATGTAGGCGGCAAAAAGGACGTAGAAGTGATGAGAAACGGTGTGACAGAAAGATAAAGCAAGAGTGTCTCAGGAAGAGACATGGAAAGAGAGAGAGAGAGAGAGAGAGAGAGAGAGAGAGAGAGAGAGAGAGAGAGAGAGAGAGAGAGAGAGAGAGAGAGAGAGAGAGAGAGAGAGAGAGAGAGAGAGAGGAGAGAGAGAGAGAGAGAGAGAGGGAGAGAGAGAGAGGAGAGAGAGAGAGAGGGGCGTCAAGACGGTGCCGACCCCGCTGTCTCTCACAGTCCAGGACGCAAACAAACACATAAATAAGTCTCAATAGCCGTGGAGGCGCCCCTAACTGGAGTGTAAGTGTCATAATGAGACGGGTCGGATTCAGAGTGGGTCCGACCCTGCGGACCCGGCCGGCAGCCCCAGCGACACTGCCCGGCGCCGGCCCGGTAAATAAGCTCCCGCGGCTCGATATCCAGGCCAACGCCCTGCGGAGGCGAGACCCGCCGGGCCGGCGAGACGGGCGCCGCCCCGACCCTTCGACGGGGGACGGCGACGAGCGAGTCTCCGTGGGAGAGGATGCGCCGGAAGATGACGCGAGTCTGCCAGAGTTTAGGTGTGCTGAGAGGAAGTGTCTCATTTGCTCATGGTGTCATCCCATTGTGTGACGAATAAGTGCGACCAGAAACAGAAGCATCAGTAGTACGTACGTACAAAGCGCACCAGGAGTGAAAATGCAGCACCAAAGTAGGGTAGCGGTTGCCATTTGTTGCGCGCATAGGAATCGGAAGGTCTACGCACTAGGCCCACGCAGACGTTGGCACAAACTCGCGTTCGAGATGAAGCCCGAATTAGGCAGAGCCTGTCACCCTACAATCTAACGGAAAGCCTGCTTGGAGGAGCAAGACCGCGCCGTCAGTGTCTGCCGGGCATCCTGCGACGACGGACAGTAATTATCGCCCGAGCCTGGCCGTTGAGCGTCGAGCCGTGTAGCCAGCGATCGTATCTGGCCCGCCTGTCGGAGGACGCGCCGTTCCCCGGCAAATGGGCTACTTATGTGCGGCTATTAGATGCCGGCGCTGATACGCGGTATAAGTCTCACGTCCGGCGCCTGATCCACGGCCCAGGAAGGAGTCTCGGGGGTTCTCAAGAGACATGCAATGCCGATCGTGGGGCTCTCCGATCGAAAGGGCAGGTACGCTGACTGACCGGATTTTAACGTTGCTTTAGATAATGCGTTGCCGTTGGTAAGACTTGGCTTCAGCCTTCCTCTCACCAAGTGGGCAAGTTACTTCCTTCAGGTCGTGACAGTCTTTGGCGAAACATACGAACAGAACGTATTCATTTAGGTGGCATGTACCTGGTTTGAACAGGGCTCCTTCCCTAGCAATCACAGCCCGGTTCATTCAGGCGACGGGGGCCGCACCGCTACCGTCCCCCCCCCCCTCCCCCAGCGGGACGAACGGTGAGAGGGCTCGCACACGACTCCAGCACTCGCCTCCACCGCCCTCCGCTGACGCTGATTGGTTTCAGCGCGGCAAATGCCAGACCCAGCGAACTGCAGCAAACTGAAACCGATTGGCCCTCGGTCGGCGAAGTGGAGCCTTTGTGAGATCGTCCCGGGCCTGCGGGGACCCTCTCGCCGTCCGGATTCAGCGAGGGGTACGACACCAGCCTGCACCGCCGCTGCGGACGGGCGAGCGCGGCGGCGCACACGCAGGCTCGTCTGCGAACGGCCAGCCTCCGGGGGTGGCCACTGGCGCGGACGAGCAGCGCCTGACAACTCAAGGCCCGTCCGGCTCATCTCGTCAGCGAGTGCAGCGATTTTTGTCCGGTCGCGGCGCCGAGCCGATGTTATCGCCGCCGGCGGCCGGCGTCGCCACAACCCGCCCGATCGTGTGGCAGCGCCTCCCCGGGCCAGAGCTGCAGCCCGCATCCCACCGGCGCCGCCGCGCCGTGCTCTTACCGTTGGGCATGTAGCCGTTGGGCATCTGGTACATGTCGCGCGCCATGGTGGACGCCTGGGACCGCGACGGGTCCGGCTGTAGGATGCCGCCGCCGAGCGGGTACTTGTCCTTCTTCAGCAGAGTCTTCGTCTTCCGCCGCGGCCTGCGAACGCGAGACAGACGGCGTCAGGCGGCATGCATGGAGCGGGCTAACGGAGCGGGACCTGCAGCTGAGGGAGGGCGTGGCGCCGGGCAGTCGGCTCCGAGGAGATGCAGCTTCTCGTCGCCTGCGACTGCGAGCTTCGTCATGCAGCAGCGAGTGGGTTGTGACGGAGGTGGGGGGCTCTGCAGCGTCGTGCCCCGCGTTAAGCTCTGGCTGCTTGTTGTTCACTTCTTTCATTGCCAATGGAGCGGCAGTCCACCAGCAGACACCGTCGACCTGGTCTAGTGTGCTGGGGAGGTGAGCGGTGAGCTCAGGTGAGGTGAGGTGAGGTGAGGTGTTGGTGAGATAAGCACGCGTCAGACCACGCTCCCCAGCAGAGCAAGGGTACGTGCTGTGGCCACCCCGTCCTGCAGTCGGCCAGCCAGCCGCGCCGCGCCGGCTGCAGCCGTCCCGCTCCACCGGCGACGGCCGGCCGATCTGTGGCGGTGACCCCGGAGTACCGGGGCAGGTCGGCCCCTCTCCCGCTCCACCGGCGGCGGCCGGCCGATCTGTGGCGGTGACCCCGGAGTACCGGGGCAGATCGGCCCCTCTCCCGGGGCACCGGCGACGGCCGACCGATCCGTGGCGGTGACCCCGGAGTACCGGGGCAGGTCGGCCCCTCGCCCGGGGCACCGGCGACGGCCGGCCGATCTGTGGCGGTGACCCCGGATAGCGGGGCAGGTCCGGCCCTCTCACTCTCCCCGGGGCATCGGCGACGGCCGACCGATCTGTGCGGTGACCCAGGAGTACCGGGGCAGGTCGGCCCCTCTCCCGCTCCATCGGCGACGGCCGACCGATCTGTGGCGGTGACCCCGGAGTACCGGGGCAGGTCGGCCCCTCTCCCGGGGCACCGGCGACGGCCGGCCGATCTGGGGTGACCCGGAGTACGGGGCAGGCGGCCCCTCTCCGGGGCACCGGCGGCGGGACCGGGACGGGCGGCCCGTCGCCGCGCCGCCGGCGCCGGCGCCCCACTCGACCGTGGCGCGCGGCGGGAAGCCCACGCCTTTCTGATTGACTGCCGTTTCCTGCGGCCGCGTCACGTGGCGTCACGTGGCCGTGCGGTACGTGCCCGTCACGTGTCGGCGCCGCCGCTGACGTGGCGGCCGGCACGTGCGCGCAGCGCCCCGCCGCCGAAATTCCCGGCCGGGTGGAGCTCCGGGATGTGAGCTCTCGGCTGGCGTCATGCGGACGGTCGGCTCCGGCTAGCGCTGCAGCCGGGAGCTGCTGCGCTAGTGTCGAACCGTACGTGGACGTCACGCACGCCACATCACGTCATGTCACGCTGCGCCCAGCCGACTCCCCCTCGACGCAAGGGCGGTAAAACGCCGTAGGGTTGTGGAGTACTTAGATGTGGTGACAACCAAATGGGAATTATCTTCCTTCCACACAGCTGCGACGTCGCCAGGCCGTGACGTTTGAAAATGACAACGATCTGGCGACCTCTGCGACCCCAGTTGTCGCGTGTCTTTCCCGGCCTCATGACACACAATTCAGCCCGGGCAAAAATACGTGCACCAAAATGTGCACTGGCGAGGCTGTCACTGTGTTGATATCATCCATATTCATTGCATTTCTCATCGTTCATTCGTTTTGGTGGCTCGCAGGGGAAATGGGCAATTATATTCCAGCACACGTTTCCATCGGGATACCTTGTCCCATTCTCACAGCGTCGCGTGGGCTGGCTGGATCGCTTGGTCATGCACATTTGCCAGTCGGCTGAATCTGTTCAAAGCTGTTAAGCAGCGGTCTGTTTCTGTGGGCGTGTTCAACAACCAGCTTGTGACGAAACCCATTCTTCCTCAAGTGGGAACAAACTCACGCACCATGCAATTATCGTCGATTTGATTAGATATCGGAGAGCTCTAATCTAATTCAAGCCGTACAAGGCCTGAAAAGCTTAACACGTATTGAATCGACGACTGTATTTTTTAGTCGTCAAAATCACCGTAACCATTTCCTTCGCTGCTGTTCCAAGGGCGACAACGTGCCGAAGTAGAAATTCACTTGGTCAAAACCGTAAATTAACCAAACACAACAATGCTGCCAAACGCTACCCTTCCACACTTTTTCCTCGCTCGGCCAAAAAACCTGAGATGTCGTTTCCGGCGTCCAGAGCAGTGTGGACGGCAAGCCGAGAGACCCGCCGACAAATTACCCCCCATTCAATCAGGAGAATAAACGCAATCCGGCCGGCGGGGAACAATAGCGACAAAGCGCCTGATGATTTAATTGCCGTCGATCGGGAATCTGACCTTGCCGGCCGCCAAACAAAGCGGCAGATCCGGCGAGGGCCACAGCTGAACGCCGCCGGCACCTCCGCGTCGGAGAGACAGATCCAGACCAGGGAGGGGGCGTCACAGAATGTGGGTCTGGAGTGAGGGCCAGCCTTGTTTTAAGTCCATGTTTTCCATGCATTCCTCCGGAGCTGACGTCTGTGCACTGCACTAACGTCTATGCGCCGCACTAACGTCTATGCACTAACGTGTAACGTGCATCTTGGATAACAGGATCTTAGCCCTTCGCCCCTGGCGCCCTTCGCATGTGCCGTGTTCGTACGCCTATGCACTGGGCGACGGTCGTGAGTCAATGATCGAAACCGGTCACCTTTTTACAGCTGAGCTGCTTCTCAGCTTCGGGAGTTTGAGCTGATGCATCAACGCAAAGATGACAGCGCCAGAAGACAGGCTGGCTCGAGGGCTGCTATCCGCCACTGAAGCGGACCGGAATCCGTCTCCGCTGACGCTGGAGAAGTTTGTGGATCGGCACGTGAAAGCGGAGCCCCTGGCTTGTGGTCACATTTGGATGCGTTTTATTTCATCCCACACCTCGTTTTGGGAGTCATACAATTATAGTTTACCCTGCAGGGATTGCAAAATATGGGGCAGGTCGCGTCAGGTTTGGTTGGATGTGAGAGATAATGCTTGAATGAGTGCTTACAAACCTCATCGTTTGCCTCAGTCTAGTTTGTTTCGCATTTACAGCAAGCTAGCCAAGGACACAGCTCTCATGGTCTAACGACTGACCTTATTAATCATCATCTAAAAAGCATATCGCACCAGCGAATATAATGACCGGATTGGCAGTTGCCCTCTCTTATCTTAAACAAAACAAAAACAACAAATTAAGTCGGGTCGGCGTTCTTTGTTCGCCACCTCAGGCGATTTACGAGACCACGCCTCAGGGCGAGCCGTGTTTGTTTTGATACCGGTGGCTAATCGCGAGGCCCATGCCGTTCAGGCCGTCCTGGCTTCGTAACCACTTTGTCCAACAGCTTTTGCCTGGACCGGCAGACAATTTCCATTGCACCACTACCGATCTGCATGCCGTCATGAACATGGGCGAGGACGTCATTTGACAAAGCGAGCGTAATGATACTCCGCCGCGCACTGGGGCATGCGGTCGTCACACAGGGATTTATGGGTGCATTCCGCGTATTGCGTTCTTCGCGCTGATGGCGGCGATCAGTGAGCGCCATTGCCATCCAGACTGATGGGCAATCGACCTGTCGCGTTCGGGCGCCCCGTGTGTACCTGTCGCTTTCGGGCGCCCCGTGTGTGTACCGTCGTGTTCGGGTGCCGTGTGTGCCTGTCGCGTTCGGGTGCCGAGTGTGTACTGTCGCGTTCGGGTGCCGTGTGTGCCTGTCGCGTTCGGGTGCCGCGTGTGTACCGTCGCCTCGGGTGCCGAGTGTGTACCTGTCGCGTTCGGGTGCCAAGTGTGTACTGTCGCGTTCGGGCGCCGTGTGTGCCTGTCGCGTTCGGGTGCCGCGTGTGTACCGTCGCCTCGGGTGCCGAGTGTGTACCTGTCGCGTTCGGATGCCGCGTGTGTACCGTCGCCTCGGGTGCCGAGTGTGTACCTGTCGCGTTCGGGTGCCGCGTGTGTACCGTCACCTCGGGTGCCGAATGCGTACTGTCGCGTTCGGGTGCCGCGTGTGTACCGTCGTCGCCAGCTGTTTCCGACACGCCATACACGCCACACACCTTCGCAGCGCGGCGTGCTCCATTGCTCGGCCACTCTTTTAGCTCGCTTTAGTCACCCATCTTTGGCTGGTTCAATCGAATACCCTTAACATACATAGCGCGGAAACCTTTGGCCGTGTCGGTCGTGATTATTTCCGGACGCCACCCTTTTTGCGATTGCCTTTCGTCACTTTTGAGGCCGCGGGCCCTGCCTCCGCCGCCACTGACGCCCCTGCCTTCGGCCTGTTGACATTACTGCCGTCACCACCACCGCCGCTGCTGCTGCTGCTGTAGTGCAAGGAGTGCTGTCGTCGTTGCCTGCTGCCTCCGCTACTGCCGCTGCTACCGCCTCCCCGTTGCCGTCGCCACCCCGCCGCTGCGGCCTCCCCGTCGCCGTCGCTACTCCGCCGCTGCCGTCTCCCGTCGCCACCCCGCCGCTGCGGCCTCCCCGTCGCCGTCGCTACTCCGCCGCTGCCGCCTGCCTGTCACCTTCCCGTCGCCGTCGCCACTCCGCCGCTGCCGTCTCCCGTCGCCACCCCGCCGCTGCCGCCTCCCCGTCGCCACTCCGCCGCTGCCGTCTCCCGTCGCCTTCCCGTCGCCGTCGCTGCTCCGTCGCTGCCGTCTCCCGTCGCCTTCCCGTCTCCGTCGCTGCTCCGCCGCTGCCGTCTCCCGTCGCCTTCCCGTCGCCGTCGCTGCTCCGTCGCTGCCGCCTCCCGTCGCCTTCCCGTCGCCGTCGCTGCTCCGTCGCTGCCGCCTCCCGTCGCCTTCCCGTCGCCGTCGCCGCTCCGTCGCTGGCTGCGCCGCCGATACCTCTTCCCCATTGCTGCCGGCACCGCCGCCGCCGCCGCCGCTGATGCGGTCGTCGTCCTCGCGGCGGGACAGCCCGGCGCCGGCCCGGCCCGGCCGTCATGATTGGCTTCTGTCAAACGCCGGTGCCTCAGGTGCGCGCGCCGTGAAAAATCGACGAGAACAGATGTTGGGGCCGGCGCCCGCCCGACTGCACGT